ATATATATATATGAAACAGCGCTTAGAATGCCACAGGACTTTTGACTTTTCTGTATTGGCCCAATACATCCACCTTTCACTGAAATGAAGCCTTAACTGCAGAGATACAGAATCTTCATATCAGCTTCCCCCTGCACTATACTTGAGGACAGAAAACATGCAAGACTCCACCCAACTGAAGCTGCTAATGTCAATTCCCAAACCTGACTCAAGCCAGATGCTAGGGTAATGCCCCATCTTACCAAAAAAGAAAGAAAGAAACAAACAAAAAGCCTAACCAGGCAAAGAAAGAGGGATAAGCCATGAGGAACCCAAGTCTTACACCTGACCTGTGGATTGCAGTCGGCTCAGCACAGCAGTGCTGGGCGGATGCAGTAATTCAGCTCTGAGTAAGGATCCAAACTTCACCTGCCGGGTCACCTACTAGCATGTTACTACAGCAACCACAGTCCTTGTTAAACTGCTGATGTTCTCATAAACAAGGCTGAGAAAAGATTATCTTGAGGGGAATCAGAAGACTCTCTATAACTCAGACCTAGTCAGTCTTTACAGCTCTGCCACAGATTCCCTGTTTGACATTTTGGAGAGCACTTGCTCATATCTGCCCCTAGGTTTGTCTTCCATCCAACAGGGAAGTCTGGGATAATTTTGCCCTCCTTTGAGGGCAAAACACCAAATGCCTGCATAGCACATTCTGGCTTCTCAAAAGGGGGTGTCGTTGAAGTACAAGGAGTTGGGAGAGCACATTGTCAGCCTCATCTCTGTGCCTGGGAATATCATGGAACAGATCCTGCTAGAAGTTATGCTAAGGCACATGGAGGACAGGGAGGTGATTTGAGACAGCCAGCATGGCTTCACCAGGTGCACGTCCTGCCTGACCAACCCAGTGGCCTTTTATGATGAAGTGACTACATTGGCGGACAAAAGAAAAGCTATGGATATCATCTACCTGGACTTCTGTAAAGCCTTTGACACAGTCCCCCACAACATCCTTCTCTCTAAATTGGAGCTATATGGATTTGATGGGTGGACTGTTTGGTGAATAAGGAATTGGTTGGATGGTTGCATCCAGAGGCTAGTGATCAATGTCTAGATGGAGACCAGTGACAAGCGTTGTCCCTCAGGGGTCCATACTGGGACCAGTGCTCTTTAATATCTTCATCAATGACAGTGTGATCAAGCACACCCTCAGCAAGTTTGAGGACAACACCAAGCTGAATGGTGCAGTTGACATGCCCGAGGGAAAGGAGGCCATCCAGAGGGACCTGGAGGAGCTTGAGAATGGACCCATGTGAACCTCATGAGGTTCAACAAGGACAAGTGCAAGGTCCTGCACCTGGATCAGGGCAACCCCCAGAATCAATACAGGATGGGGGATTAAGCAATTGAGAGCAGCCCTGCTGAGAAGGACTTGGGGGTGCTGGTGGATGAAAAGCTGGACATGAGACAGCAACATGCACTTGCAGCCCAAAAGGCTAACCATATCCTGGGCTGCATCAGAAGAAGTGTGGCCAGCAGTTTGAGGGAGAGGATTCTGCCCCTCTACTGCACTCTCATGAGACCCCACCTGCAGTGCTGTGTCCAGCTCTGGAGCCTCCAGCACAAGACAGACACAAGACAAGCACAAGAGGGACCTGTGAGAGTGAGTCCAGAGTAGGGCCATGAAGATGATCAGAGGGATGGAGCACCTCCCCCATGAGGAAAGGCTGGGAGAATTGGGGTTGTTCAGCCTGGAGAAGAGAACGCTCTGGGGAGACCTTTCAGTACTTGAAGGGGGCCTATAAGAAAGATAGGGGTAATCTTTTTAGCACAGCCTGCTGCGATAGGACAAGGGGTAATGGTTTTAAACTAAAAGAGGGCAGGTTTAACTTAGATATAAGGAAGACATTTTTTACAATGAGTAGAGTGCTAGAAGCCCCATCCCTGGAACCATTCAAGTAGAGTTTGGATGGGACTCTGAGCAACCTGATCTAGCTAAAGATGTCCCTGACCATGGCAGGGGGGTTGGACTAGATGACCCCTAAAGGTCCCTTCCAACCAAAACTATTCTATGATGATGTGCAGCTTTGCTAATTTGGGCACTTCTTTCTATGTTGGGGAAGATGGGTAGAAATATTTCCTCTCTCAGAGCTTGCTTATCAGTAGAGATAAGGGATGGACGACTGACTTACTTCTCAAGTTACTGACATCTGCCTTCATCTTCTCCTCTTTCTCCTTGTTGCAATCCAGTGAATTTAAGCCTTGCTCCAAGCTCTGCAATGCTTCCTCAGCTTCTCTCAGTCTCTTCTCCAGATCCATGCGCACCTTCACTTCAGCCTGAAAAACAGCTTGCATCTAAATAACCATTCTGCTAACTCACAAGGTGAGGGACCCACCAACCAGATGAAAATGAAAAGACAACTAAGGAAAACCAATAGAAATATTGTAAGACAACATAAAAGTTATTCCTCATGTCTTCAGACAGAATATGGATTTGAAGCCCAGATTATTTCAGTAATTCTGCTTTACTCTGACTTTCATTTTCACAGCTTCCCTCTCACTGTGTGAACTGCGTGGATCAGAGATGGTATTTCAACACATGAATTTGTGCTTATGCAAGTACTTGGAGCTGAGCAGGAACAGGAGGACATCTTTCCAGCTGAGATGGACATGAGATAAAGGCAGTCATTTCCCACAAAGGGATGTACAGTACTTAGTTTCAGAAACAAAATGTAAGAAAAGTTAGAAATATTGTATCAGTAGTAGCTTAGCAAATGAGAATAACTAATACAGCTTAGGTCAACTTAGCTTTAGTTTGGCCAAGTGGAAGTTTACACAATAAGAAAATCTTCGAGGTGCAGGAAAAAGAAGAATTGGAGGGGTTTTTCTCAAAATATTTGTAGGAGGAGGCTGAGTGTCAAACAGCCAATAATAAACACAACCTTTACATTATTTAGATTAAAACAGAATAGCCTACTTTGTCCAATTACCTTTATCTTCCATTACTGGGATAACAAAGGAGGGCTGGTACCTCATCTGCATTCCTCTGCTTTTGAACCCAAGTTCATGCAGTGGTTCTTGAACATTTATGAATCTTAAGATTGATTCTCTGAACACGAGTGAGGAGGGAAGACTTCGGCTCAGTTTTGCAATGTCCATATTAACATTTCTTTGAAGTAATCTTTATTCTTGACTGTATTTACTTTCCTTTTTTACTTTTTTTTCCTCCCTCCATCTTTAGATGATGCTTTCACAGCAGCAGATGAGAAGACTTTTACTGAATGGGTTAATCAGGCCTCAGAATGTGAAAATAAATAGGAGTGCTACATAGATACAACTTGGCAACTTCGTGTGAAGCATAGCAAATGAAGATTTGTGACCACAAAATGAAAACACAATAAAGCCAAGTCTCCCTCTTGATAGGGGATGAACTGAAAAGGAAAATGAGAACACTCTGGGCGCAGGGATAGCACTATGCGACATACACAGGGGATACCTTGAGGTCTCTCTCTGTCTGCTGCTTCTCCGCAGTCAGCTCCAAGAGCGAGTTCTGCAGCGCTCGCGACTGGGAAGAGTAAAACTCCCGCTCCTCCTCCAGCGCTCGGGACCGCTCCTCATTCTCCTTCATCCTGGTGCATGGCACAGAAAAGGAAGATGACCATTCCCACCCCAGCACAACTTACAGGGAGGAAGGGGCTCAGTATGGTGCTGAGGCATGCTTAACTACCTGGCTGCCTTGAGCAAAGAGGTGCTAACAGGAGCTGTGTTCACTGTTCAGGAGCTGTGTAACTGTGTTTCACTGCAATAACACAGGCATTGCTGGAGAAGGCCTGGTGGACAGCTCTTGAATGGAACATTCTTAATACCCAGATAAGGTCCAGGAGCACCAAACACTTCTTACGGACAAGTCCATGAACACCAAATGGATTCAAGTGACTAAGTCCTGACAAAAGGAGAAGGCCCAAGTGGCAGCAAGGAGTTCAGCTCCCCTGCCTTACTCTGTTGCCTCTGAAGCTTTTATAACCTGAACCCTGCTGTGGGAACCAGATAAGCTTCCAGACTTGTGTTGGCAACCGAAAAGCAAGTCAGCAGATAGTCACATCATTTGGCACCACTAAGCCTGACAGGGCAGAAGTGTCTTCTTCCCTTTACCACACCCAAGAATGGAAATTTATAAAGGATCTTGCCTCTCTGCAGGTCTCAGGATAAACAAGGGAACAGTTTTGAAGTTACCCTAATTTTAAGCCTGCAGATATTGAGACATACCCTTTCTGGTTGCCTTCCACCTGCGAGGGGAGAAAAACACCTCTTTTTCTACCACCCTCTTCACACTGGATCACATCGTGTCCCACATCTCTGTCTCTGGCACCACCGTAAGAGCCCCTGCCTGCACTTCACCTCTTCTCTGCCAGGAGTTTCTCCTCCAGAAGTTGCTGCATCTTCGCTTCAATCTGTTGCAGGCTGCAATGCAGTCCCCAGATGGGGCTTTGCTCCTTGCTGGGGCTGGTTGGAGGTGGAAGCTGTCTCTCATTTTCTTCCAGCATCTCCAACATTTGCTGCTTTTCCAGGGAGAGCTCCTTGAAGAAGGGCAGAGATTGTGAGTATCAGCCAAGTCCAACATTTCTGCTCCTGTTCCTGCCTGGCTCCTCCCTATTGAGACCCCGCATCCTTACATCCACATGCCTTGTTCAGGTTGAAAACAGGAATAACAAAATCTGGGTTTCATTTCATACCCGCGTCACGAGGAGCAAGCCTCCACCATAGCCTTTGCTATGCAAGGGGGTGAGAATCTGTACGTTCCTTTGACATGATATGCTAGGTAAGGACCCAGCTCAGGGACTGGAGCCTTGTGCTTCCCTAGTGCGTCACTGATGCAGGCAGCTTCCCTGCTTTCCCTCCTCACCTTGCTCCTCAGTGTGAACTAGAGGCCTCTCCTCTGTGGTACTTCTAACTGCAGGGCAATAGGACATATCATGCTGTTTTCCTGTAAAGTGTTCAGTCCAGTGTGCAACTAGGGCATGAATGGTCCTTCCCTAGCTTTCCAGTTCTTTTTTCATACCCATAACTGTGGGCAAGGAGAAGAACTCAAAGGAACATCAACAGATTTTTGGACAAACTTGCAGGAGCTGACACAAACATTAAGGATGACATTGAGTTCAGAAGGCCACCTGTGTGGAAATTTCACAAACAATATAAATTTAGAAAAGCCCAATTTCCACCCATCCACCAGAGTCATACCAAGTAAGAAAAGGGTTTAATACAGCAACACTCCATTTCCTAAATTCCCACGTGGTACATGATTCACTGGGAACTATGCTCCCTTCTGTGAGCAAGGAATGCCTCTCTGCTGCTCCAATTTCCACCAGGACTTAGGGAGCTTCAGTTAAAAAAAAAAAAATCAGAAAGGTATCACAGACTTATAGGTATGGTGGCTGGAAGGGACCCTCTGGTAGGCTCTAGTCCAGCCTCCTGTTCAGAGTTGGTCTGTCAACATAGCAAGATATGGTCAGCTGCGGCTTTCTACAGTCAAGTTGTGAAAACCTTCCAAGAAGGATGTTCCTCAGCCTCTCTCACCACATGCCTACCTGTCTGGTGAAAAGTCTCTCCCTAGTGTTCAACCTGAGCTTCCCAAACTGCAACTTACGGTTATTGTCCTACATCGTATCGCTGAGAAAAGTCGGGTTCTGCTGGGCTTCGTGTCACTACTAGCCCATTTCTGCAGGGGATTTTGGCCACCTTATCAGCTACCAAATGAACATGTTCATCTGCACAGGACTTAACTCTGGTGCTAGAGGATGTGAGATTCATTCCACGAGACAGCACTGCTTTCAGCCCTGGTCAGTTCTCATGGATCATTCGCCAAAATGCTGTCAGTCAGAGGGGAGAAGTTGTCACTCACCTCTAGGGTTTTCTGTAAAGACTGTGTCAGGCTTCGTAACTCTTTCTTTTCTTCCTCCACTCCTTTAAGGGAGCGGGCTGTGAGCTCTAGCTCCCTAAAGAGGCAAAAAGGGTTATAGCTATTGCAGGGGAACACTAGCCCCACAGACCGTGCTCAGACTGTGTAGGCTGTGGATCTGTTAGTGCAGGACCTGCAACCAGTGGTTCGTACATACAGCCCTGGAGACTCAGGAGCTTGCCAGGAACACACTATGGGCATCCAGAAACTTCACTGTGCCTCCTGATCATCAAACCAACTGTTAGTGTGCTTCTCTAGCAAGGGCAGGGCCATGGCTGCAACTGGAAGAACTCAGACAGGGCAGTCACATCTAAGCAAATGTAAGTCTATGAAAACAAAAGTGGTTTGCAAAATCACACTGGCTTTTCTGAGATGTTGTTTAGGGAGAGAAAAGGAAAAAAAGGAAAAAAAAAAAAAAGAAGGCAATGGCAAAACATGCCCTTTCAACACTGAGGGCAAAGCACTTGGATCCTTCCCTTTCTGAATACATTTGCTGTTCACATTTTGCATAGCCTAACTCTTAAAATGACAAAATTGCTCTTGGTGAGGCAACTTCATAATCAACCCATTCAGCTGATGGTGGAAAACCAGATTCAGATGTCTGGAAACCATTTGGCTGTTCAGTCAATGAAACTAATTGCCTCTCTGAAATCCTCTAGCACCTGTCTGTTGCCACGTTACTCCAACTAGTCTGGGGTTTGGTCATGTCCCAGCCCTTTGAAAATGAAGTTGCTGGAGCCCTGAATGCAAAATGAAACTAAACCATATTCTATTGGTCACACAAGTGATAGCAAACACAGGTAAACAGATCTTAATTCAACCATTCCTGTTTTGGTCAATATAGCATTTATCTCCTTCCTACGTACACAAAATAGGTTGCTTTCGCAAACTGTTTTGATTCACCACCACAGCAGCACTTCTGCCCAATGTGGGAGTTCATGTCCTTTTCCTGCCCAGCACAGTCTGCTGCCTCACCGTCTGATCTGTTCCTGCTCCAGCCGAAGCTCCCGTACCACCTCTTCAAACCGGTGCTTCTCTGCTTCCAGGACCTGGTTCAGACGTTCGAGTTCCTGGACCAAAAGAGAAGACAGGAATGTGCTCTGCTGACACAGTTAGGAAAGACTTTCCTGTTAACAATGCCTGGGACATTTAACCCGGGCTACGCAGAACCACAGGGTGTCCAATTCCATCACACTTTTGTCCAGGGGCAATTAGAAGGGACTGAAAGTTGGCTGAAGATTTCCAGACATTCAGAAGTCCCAGACAGGTTACCAGATGCCTGGAAATCCCAGACATGCCTGCTGCACAGATCAGGTCTGCTGCACATATACAGCAGGTCCAAAGCTCCCTGGGAAAGCTGGACTCAACATGGATGTACCATTTCCAGGCACCCATAGGTGCAGGAACAGAAAGCCCAGACAGGAATGTGACAAGCCCAGCACTGCTGCACCTGAAGTGGAATATTTCTACTAGCTCAGCCTTGCTTGCCATCCCCACTGGGACAGGAAAGCACAAACAGCACAATTAAAGCTTTGCAGGGTTTAATCAGCCGTCACTATCTTTGTGCTAACAAAACCATGCTTAAAGAGCACTGAATACCACAAGCTATCCCCAAGCAGTGAAACACTCTCTTCCCCTAGTCTAGAGAAAGCAGTTATACCAAGATGTACTGCAGATGGAGATGGGACAAAGTACAGCAAGGGTCCCACCCCCAGTCAGGTCCCCTTGCAGCCTTAAGCAGCAAGGCAGAACTCCTGCTGCAGGCCCAGGCAGGTCACAAAACAGCACTGACACCAGATAAACTCTTAATAAGACTCTTGCCCCGTGGTACAGATACATGGTGCAAGCTGCTTTCCCAACATATAGCTCTGAAGACTTCAGGCCCACAGGAGGTCAGACCACTGCAGCTCAGTGAGCTATGTAGTCATTCCTTCATCAGTACCAAAGTCCTTCAGACTAACCTGGCCCCATCTGCCCTTCATGGGCAATGGAATCATAGAATCATTCAGATTGGAAAAGACCTTGGAGATCATCAAGTCCAACCATCAACCCTACTCTACAAGTACACCCCTAAACCGTATCTCCATGCAGATACCACGCATGGCTTTGTAAGAGCAGAGATTTGTTACAGGATCTTCAGGGAAGGGCATTTCCCTCCCTGCAGCTGTGGGTTGTGCAGCAGGCTACCTCACCAGAAAGGGATGTCTCCCTGCAAAGGCAGAAGTAGCTGAGCCCTGAAGGAGTGTCCAAGCCACCTTTGGACTTCAGCTCTGCAGAAACGTAGACAGGAAAAACTTAGGTCTGAGAAGCCTAGGTCAGCATTGCCGTCTTTAGCAAAAGAGGGATGACAGTCGTTTTGGATTAACGGGAAAAAAGAGCATGCAGCAGTTTGCAAGATTGCAATGTGGTGGTCTACATCCATGCGGGCTTTCTTATCATGTAATAGGACAACCTATTTGCAAAACCATCTTCCAATAAAAAAAACTTAATGCTATGAAAAACGGTATAGATTTGGTGTAAATAGGAGAATGAGCTACTGTTATTATATTAAGCAAATATAAGTTAGGAATACTTTGGAAAACAATAATAAACTGGATAAATTAAGCTATAATTTGGGCCTCATTACAAGAAAGACATTGAAGTGCTGGAGCGTGTCCAGAGAAGGGCTATGAAGCTAGTGAAGGGCCTGGAGAACAGATCTTATGAGGAGTGGCTGAGGGAACTGGGGTTGTTCAGTCTGGAGAAGAGGAGGCTGAGGGGAGACCTTATCGCTCTCTACAACTACCTGAAAGGAGGTTGCAGTGAGGTGGGGGTCAGTCTCTTCTCCCAAGTAACTAGTGATAGGACAAGAGGAAATGGCCTTAAGTTGTGCCAGGGGAGGTTTAGATTGAACATTAGGAAAAATTTCTTTACTGAAAGGGTAGTCAAACATTGAAACAGGCTGCCCAGGGAAGTGGTGGAGTCACCATCCCTGGAGGTGTTCAAAAAACACATTGATGTAGCACTTCTAGACATGGTTTAGTGGTCACGGTGGTATTAGGTTGATGGTTGGACTTGAAGATCTTAGAGGTCTCTTCCAAACTAAAGATTCTATGATTCTATAATAGTCACATCTAAGGGAGTACTCTCTTGAGTTTTCCCTAGTGCAATGTTTATTATTCTCCCCCTCTCTGGTGCATCCAAAGAACAAACCATGTTGGTTTTTGCCACTCCTTGTTTCTCACAACGGTACCTCTACACTAGAACAATGTCAGGTCTGTTTATTTGCTTTCTAATTGTGGAGACAGATAAGTTGATTGCCACAGTCATCTTGAATCTGCCAAATAACAAGGGCATAATTCAATCCAATGAACGCAAATTTAATCTGACCTTCCTCCCTGATGCTCCTGGAGACATAATCACAAGCACGCTGCATGGAAAGTGCGTGGGAAGGGGAGCAGGAATACATCTCCAGGACCCATCCCATGGCACAGCTCTTGTTCCTCTCTTCATCCACAGGGCCCACAGGCTGGCTGAGGCCTTTTTGCTCTGCAGCCTCCCTCCCTGAACCCTGATATACCTTCAAATTAATTCCCAGCCTCCCAGTCCTGCCACGTGGAAGGTGAGGGAAATTGGGTGAACACTCACCTCTTTCTGCTCCCTCTGCAGACACAGCTCTTCTGTTTCTTCCATTAGCTTATCTGCAAGCACACAGACAAAGGCCAAATTAAGAGAAAAGCAATTTATATCCTGCGGATATTTACAAGCATGAAACACTGACTGTTTGAACTTGAAACCGCAGTGTTCCTCATTGCTCTGTGTATATCTGTCTGAGAGGCTCCAAAGGCTGAGACAACACTAATGGGATGTTCTGTAATTTCCCTCCTGCCAAACAACTTAATAAACTAAACCACCATATTGCTGTGTACTTCTTCTAAGGTTTCCTCTCAATGTTCTTAAAGAGCATTAACGAACTAACCTTCCCAGACCTCTACCTGAGTCAGGAAAATATTATCTCTGCTTTACACATGAGGAAGCAAAGGCACAGAAAGGTTAAGTGGGTGCACAGGTTCACACGCTATGTAGCAGCAGTCAGTTCTCCTCCAGCAGCTCGGTGTCCCATCCCTATCTGCCTGGCACACCGCCCTCTCCTTCAGCCCACTCTGCATCACCGCCAGCTCCCTATTGTCACCTTGGGATGTCCCAGCCAAGCCCAGATAATCAATCTCCTAACTTAGCCACAAAACTTTTAGCTGTTAAAAATAGTTCCCCTCAACATCAGTTGCTCTTGTCCATTGAGAAGGACACATGCCCACCAGCGGCTCTGCTCTGATCCTTACACTGTGACCTGATGTACCTACATTGTGCTACCCTTTAACCTTAAACAGAGCCTCTGCCTTAAGCAGCTCTTAGTGATGCTTACAGGAAACCAGACAGAAACACATTCCTCATAGTTAAGCCTAGGGTTGGCTCTGAGCTTTGCCACCCAGCTGCCACATGAGCAGGGGCAGATTCACTGTAGCACTTTATGATTAAGTCTTCCCCATATTAGGTGAAGAGAATGCTACCAGTTTCCTTTGTACTGGGGACCTGAAGAGATCACTACTGCTGGCAGGGCTACTACTGCTAGGAGGAATGCAGACCTCTACCTCCCACTCACAGCAGAGCTCCTGGTGCCAGAGCAAGAGTCTTGTATTACTAATGCTCTGCTGCCCACCACTGCTGCCTTTCCGTCCCACTCTTGCCCGCTTCTTCCTTGCCAGGAGCCAGCACGGCCGCACTGTAATTACACAGAGCCTCTCCCACCTTCCCTCTTCTGCCCCTCCTGGGGTGGGCAAGCCCAGGGCTTGACGGGCTTCTGCAAAGTCCAGGCCTGAGAGAGATACCTGGATCCCAGCTGGGGGCAGGTGTGGACGGTAACTCCAGGGGGATTCAGGGGGTTCCCCAGAACAATTTGCTTCCTCCAGAGAGCCTTGACCTGCTGCCAGAGTCAGTGTCTGACCTCAAAGCTTAACTACAGGATGGACACAGATCATTGAAGGTAAGGCTAAGGAGGCAGAAGCCTCAGCAGTTATATAGGAATACATAGACAATTGCTGTCAAAAGAAAGTAACCAACTGTGACAATTGACCAGCTCTGAATGTTCTTGTCATGGACCAAAGAACCCAGTGAAATATATATTCCAAATATCTCCTGTTTGCTACAGAATATTCCTCTATTCCTCTATCACCTTGTCTTTTATCATACTGCGGCCCTGTTTAGTCTCTTAGGCTCTTTAGTCTGCTCTGGTAGTTGCAAAACAATACTTTGACAAAACTTTCCCGTTTCTAATTTTCCTCCTGTCTCTCCAGCTCCTCCTCTCAGCACTCCTCATTATCCCTTTGTCAGATGTGGAACGACACCTCCCTGCCTGCCTCACACATGAGCCCATCCATCAGCTCACGTGTGTGAATGGCGCTTAGATGGCCAGAATGAACATGCCTTGATACTTGAATTACAATCACTGTTACGCGTGAGACCATATACTGAGATCACCCTTGAACAGCATGGATGCAGAAATGCAAAAAGCTCTTCAAGATTCCTCCAGTGGTTTGATGTTAGGAGTAGACAGCACGAGCCCCTGCTCAAGGCATCACCAACCTGAAGCACTCAAAGTAGCTGCTAGCTTGTTTAAAGCAGATGACTGTCCGGACAAGTCACTGGGCTCACACATGTGACCAAAAGCCCCCATGACAGAAGGGCTCTTACACCTTGCTCTAATTTAGGAGGTATCTGGGTTAAAAAGACTACTCATCCTTGGCTCTTGCTACAGGCCATGTGGGGAAGAGACAGCTGGACCTCCCAAGGCAGTTAGAGCACCCAAGGCACTGCCACCCACAGGCTGGTTTCTGAGTAGAGGATTCCGCTAGATAACCTCCAGAAGTATCTTTCAACCTAAATTATTCTATGTTCATTCGGAGCAACTGCTCTCTCTCCGTTGCCCGTGGAGAGAGCAATGACAAATTAGCCACTGCCGTGAGACACCTCAAACAAGCCCATGTAAATACTCCCAATATGAACAGTGTGTGCAAGTGCAGACAAAGGCCAAGTAGAATAAGACCAAAAAACTTAGCTAGAGGAAGAAAACTCATACATGAAAAGCTGTGATCAGCCTCAGAAATATCAGTCCTGTGTGATTCAGGGAGATGAAGGTATTGGCTGTTTGCCTGGCAAGCAGCTGAAATCAGCACATCCAAACTCCTCAGGGGCAGCAAACATTTGTACAGTCCAGCCATGAGGAGCTGCAGGACTGCAGCATGCTGGCCAAAGCACGTTCTTCCTTTCACACTCCACACAGATGTCCAGATCCTATCTTAACATTTTCATGTTTTGACCTCCTTCAAAACCTGAGTTTCAGCTGATGACTATATTCAAAAGCTTCATTCAGTAAAAGTCAACAGTAGAAACCTGTAGCTGCTTGACTTGACCACACTGACAACTCCAGAAAGGCAAAATCACTATTTTGGGGTTTATGCCTTTTAGAAGTAAGAGTTTCTTACCCAAATACTCCTGTTTCTCCTTGGCCAGCTGCAGTCCTTGGGCTTCCAGGCTTTCAATCATGGCTTCTCCCAGCTGGGCATTCTTCCAGGTCCTAGGGAACGCAGACACAAAGCAAACAATGTAAGAGAGCTAAGGGTCTCACAGAGTGAGGAAGGAGACTCAGCCTAGCTATCTACCAAGGAATTCAAACACACAGACTCTCATCAGTTGGGACAGTGATTCTCTAAATTTTTCTCCACAAATGAATTAGAGAAATTTCCTTGACATTCAGTAATTTTTTTTTTAATTTTTTTTTTTTTTTGTATATACAGGAGCTGCACATCAACACAGCACAGCTATTAAAATATTTTTTCCAGTGTTTTGGAGTTTTCTACACTGAGCTTACTCTTAAGGGCTCTCCAGACCAACCCAGCACATACACAGCCTCCAATTGCATCAGGATGTACCTGGAACCCATTAAATGGATCCTGACAGACTTTAGAACCAAATTTTATCTTTTAACTCAACTAACTTCCCATCTGCCAGTGACATTGTCTTCTGCAGCCTTTCCAATATTTTGCTGCTATAGTCACTCTTCCCCTTCAAACATTAACCGTTTATTGACTCCTTCCCACAGCCTTCTATGTGCAGCTGTTCTGGTATCCGTCATCCAGCCTGGAACCAATCAATCCCTCATCTACTAAACTTGTAAGCCATTAGGATTTGGTGTCTGGCCCTACACTGTGAGTTAAGTCTTGTAAAAATAACAAAGAACCAGAGATAAAAGCCAGACAAGATGCTGACAAGTAGGGAGAGTTAAAGGAAGCAGACAGATTCAAAGAGTACCTTGTGTTACTGCAGGACTATTGGCCAGAGGATCTCAAGGTCTCTTGAACACATTATGAAACTAATCTGCAAAAAAGGCAGCTGTGTAGCAGATGCCAGTTACTGAGTTGATGGGCAGGGTAGGCTTTAATACAGATGTTAAATGCCAAGGACAAGAACACACAAATCAAAAACAGAACCAGAAATGGAGTTTGCTGATCAGTTCTGTTCATATTCCATTAAAAACCAACAACAACGTACGCACATAAAATGCACATGTAAAATTCATCCCAATCTATTTATATAGATGCACATCCAGGAACAGCAATTGCTGCCCAGAAATTCTGCCATCTAAGGGAGCTTTTTAATATTAAATAACTGTAAGCCGTCCTGTACCAGGCCTCTTTGTGAGCCATGCCTTTCTGTCTGTTGCTTAGCTCCCAACCTGACCCTGCTAACATAAATCACATAATCTGTGCCTCCCTCACATGCAGGCTCTCATCAGCACTGATCAGGCCAGCACTGGGCTGCACCGCTTTCCTTCTCTGGTGCAAGAACAGAAGCAGAGAGGGGAGGGAAGGGGGTGTCTCAGGCAGATTTTCAGCTAGGTGCAGGTAGTCTGCTGTATGATAGCAGGTACTATCTAGCTTCTGTTGGAAACACTTGTGCTGGAATATTGAAGCAAGGACTAGAGAAAAGGCTGGCTTCGTGAAATAAGCAGCCACACAAGGATTGCTTGTGAGAACCCCTCCTGAGCTGTGCAGCCCTGCTCCTTTCCTCCCACACACACCTGAAAGACGAATTTGGCCCCCTGATTATTGCCCTGGGTAAGAGTTACATTTAACACTGGTGAAGGCAAGTGCAGACCTGCACTATCGAAATAAAAACTCCAAATTACTCAAGGGCTAAATCTGGGTCCCTCCTCCTCTGCAGTGACCAAGCCTGCTCATGCTGAGTGGGTGACAGACCTCTGCCTTGGGTCTTGGGTCCCATGGGTGCATGCTCCCGTGAAGCTTTAAAGGGCAGCTTTGTGTTGCAGTTCATACAGTATCATGGAGGTAACAGCTTGCTCCAGCACCACAGCCAGGCTCACTGCAGCAGTGCAGAGCATGGCTTGGGCTGATCCACCGTAGCACTGTGTTCCCCATTAATTACAAATGAACATTTTTCAGCCCCATAGCATTGGAATTAACTGAGATATTGCCTTTATCATGCACACAATGGTATTACAAGATAAACTTGCCTAAAAGAGCAGCTTTTGTCCCTACAGCCACAAGAGACCACATACACACATTGTAATGCAGCCAAGGGTTTTCTGACCCTCACATCTGTCAAGCCTGCAGACCTTGCTTCCCACACAAAATGGACCAGGAGAGCTCCTGTTCAGTCCCAGGTCTCACCTCTCTGAGGCAAGAGAGAGGGACGGCAGATACCGTATCAGCATTTGACTGATGACAGCCTGGGGTTGTTAGCAAAGATTCATACTTCAGACCTTGCTGCACACCGAGGCAGGAAGCTTTGTGTCAGTTTTAGAGCATTCTCGCTTAGGGAAAGGATGGGTCCAGGAGGCAAGTGAAGGTCTCACTTGTCTTGGGGAGCTTGTCTGCCTCCCTGTAGTCCTTCTAGTCAGGCTTCTTCCTCTTTATCCTTTACACATCTACAGAGCAGATCAAAGAGAATAAGGAATAGAAAGAAGCTTACACTTTTCCAGACTCCTGTAGCATCTCCAGCCACTGAGCCTGCTCAAACTCTGATTCAGCTGCTAGAACAATGTTACCCTAGAAGAGGGGAGGGGAAAAAAACCCAGATTAGAGAGGCTGGTGCCTTACGCGCCTCTGTGCACCCAGGGCATGAATTGAACACAGCTAGCACAGCTACGGCAGGAGGAGAGCCCACTGCAGGCTTCCACCTCCACAAGGGGCATCATGTGGGAGCAAATAGGACCCAGACTGACCACACATTGGAAAGAGATGCACACGGCAAGTCGTCATGGTAGGAATAAAATGGTAGGGCAACATGAGCTCTAGGGCTCCCGAATATCTCTCTACTGGTCTGCTAGTATTATAAGACCTGCTGTCAGAAAGAGCAAGTTTCCTTGTTGGTTGTCAAAGCAGGAGCAGCAGCCAAACCTTGAGGGGGCTTGGGATGCTACACCGCCCTCTCTCCCAGGATAATCCGCCCAGAGAGGGTAAGCATACCTTGGTGGGGTGGGCAAGACTGCCAATACAGCTCTGCTCATCAGCAATAAAGTGTTTTGTGGTATTTGGGGGTTTTTTGAGAAGAAAAGAAATCTACTTACATGGAAGTCTTCATGCGAGATCTTTATGGCATAAGGCATGTTGGGCTCTTCTTTGGGCTCCACGATGCAGCCTCCCAGGGGTATGACACCCTGGGGATAAACCGGAGCACTCCAATCAGTCAGCAAAATCAAGTATGACTAATTAACTAACCAGGAACTGAACTTTCACCCTTGGTCACTTGTAGGCCCCTGCCCTGCCTTGGGAGGGTAATACACACAGTTCCTGAAAATCAGAGGGACTCCCACCACCAGCAGGAGATCTCCATGTGGTATCTGAAAGGGAGTAAAGATGGCTCTCCTGCATTCAACTTGGAGGGAAGGCTGCTAGCTAGAACATGGAAGGGGGAGCTCTTTTATCAAGGCAGAGGTGATCTCCTAACATGGGCAGACATTGCAGATTCACAGTGTGGTACCATGAGAGAGGTACATCCATTACAGTCACCACCAGTAGGTCAACACACCACATGTCCTGTGTGGGGATGGATGGGTAGCCTGCTGCCCCTAACCAGGCCAGGTGAAATCAGCACCTTTGGAAGCACGCGTGCTTCATCGGCCTCCAGTAACCACAGAGGATAAGAGCAGACTCAGGGCACAGAGTTCCCCCGTGAGAGCCACAGGCAGCAGACGTACGGAGACTGCTTCTCAGGACTGAGGACACATGCGTTAACAGGGGCTGGCTGTGACTGCTTACAAGCGCAAGTACAGGTTAGGAACAAGTAGCAACCAAAGCTGTTAACCCGCCCACTGGCTTGCCAACAGTATTCTCAAAGCCACAAGGCTCAGTTGATTAGAAGGTCATGAAAATGAGGGAATATATCTACTACCAGGTAAAAAAAAAAGTCATGTACCCACTGAGTCATGAAGGAACCTGAAGATCTACTGACATGGTTCTTGCTTTTTTTTGAGGCTTCCCTAGGAAAGCTTTGTGACTTAACCTCATCTTCACTTGCTGGGCCCATGGAGAGAGGGGGAAACTAGAAACAGAATAACCCCCTCTCCCATGCAAACACTGCTCACCTTGGGGTGGATATTGAAGTATTTATTGCTTTCAAAACTCCTCTTCTCACTCTCAGCATAGTAGAGCAGGAAACTTTCCTTAATGATGAAGAACCTTTAAGACGGAGAAAGAAATAAGTTCTGCTAGAACAGAAGTCGTAGTTCACAGCACAAGAAAATCTCCACCTAACTAAAGCTGCTTTCTGAGCAGAAGAGTTTTCTATTCCCATCTAAGCCTAAGGTGATGTGCCTCACTTTTGTGCATAGCCAAGAGCTAGTGCTTAACACTAAGCACCAGCTTTGAGTGCTTTGTGCTTGCAGTTTACCACAGCGTGCACCCACCAGTGTTGAAGGCAAACTATAGCGCCCTTTACTCACAGGGGAATGGGATAGCAGTCTGCGCCCAAGACAGGAGCACAGCCAAAGTCTTTTGGCAACTTGACCTGCGCGTGTTCTATCTAGCCCATGTGCTGAATTCAATCTGTTGGAAGAGAGCTGCTCCTTTCTTTTTTTTTTTTTTTTAAGAGGCTCTCTCAGATGGGCTAAGAGAAACTAAAAACTTATTTTTGCAAGCTACTCCCTGCCACCTTCTTTCCTCCCATCCATGAGCCAGGAGGGAAGTGTTTCCCCTGTAACACTGAGTCATACAGCAGGGACAGTCACAGGCTGGCATCCTCGAGGCAAAAGATTGGCAACAAGAGCACTCAGGAGCAGAAATAAATTTTAGAGGTATTTTTAAGCAGACCTCCTGGCAAAGTCTCCTGTCATTGACCTGTGTAAATACAAAAGAAATTGAATTTTTTTTTCCTCACATGCATCACATTAAAATGTGCCTTGTTCTGCTCAGTTAGCCTTAGGTACACTCTGATGAGCACTGTATAGTAGCCACAAAGTATCACAGCTTCTGTAAATCAAGTCTCTAATTTACTGGAGCATGTCCTCAAAATTGTGATTAAAGGAGTGCCAGTTTTAGCTTATTGGGAGGTTCAAAACGCCCCTGGGAGACTCCCTCTTCTCTTTGAAAATTGAGGTTGCATTTACCCTGCAGGCAGTGGTACAGAGGAGAGGTACCTGACTTAGGTTAAATTTGGTCTGAATCTCTGCAGCACTCAAAAATGCTGAAGAGCAGCTGAAAAAATTGGGACGAGTTTAGCAGGGAGGTTTCAAAAGAGTAGATGACCAAAAAAATGCATTGCACTGTTCTGTACATATTTTCTGATATGAGAAAAGAGGGATATGGAAAGAAAGTGAAAGGCAATAAGCTGAAAATTCATAAAGAATGCCTTTTTACACTGCACTGCTGTGTAAATCACTTTCATGTGGTACCAAGGACAAGAGTATGAGCAATCAGGACAAGGCATTTCTGTGAATAATGAGAACATCCCCAGGAAACCCTCCTGCTTCTGGGCAGAAAGCCTCCACTGAGAGGGATCAGGAAGAGGCTTCTCTGGCCAGTGCTTTCCAGTTGTGCAGCCTGGGGATTCCTGCACCTTCCTCTGAAGCCACTGTTAGCCATGGGCCACAGGCTGAGAGGTCTGATCCACAAGAGCTGTTCTAATACCTCCACATGCCCATGCCACCCCAGTCTGTCCTGAAACAGAGGGCTTGTCAGCTGGAGCCAAGCACTGCTTCCAGTACAGACAAGCCCAGAAAGTTGGTACCAGTTTAGTTCCTAAAGCTAAAGAAAGAAGTTGAAGCTGGCAGAGAATTATCATTATAATAATAAAATAATATATATCATTATAATATACTGCATTATTAATAATAATTATTATTATATTTGGGGGGAAGCTTCCACTTCCACCAGCTCCTATCTCTTGCTATTTTGCTGTGGCTCTGGCAACATAGGTGAAATTGCCACATGCCACGGAAACATGAGCCATGGGCTCACAGAGGGACCGAAAAACAGAACAAAGCTAAACTTCTGAATGCCTTCAACAAGCTCAAGCTCTGGACCTACTGTGCACCCGTTCCAAAATGTTTAAAAGTGACAGTCACTGAACATGTGCATATTTACATCCAGAAATGTTCAGAACGTACAAACACCAGCAGCAATTATTGTGCCCCAAATTTTTTCTTCTGCTTGCCCACTGATCTATACCTGTTCATCAGAGGTAGGGAGGAGAAGCCAGTTTGCTTCCTCAGCAGGACACTGTCTTCTCATTTGATGGTCCAGGAACATCATGATTCACTGCATAACCTCAACTCTTGTTCCTGACCACAGCCTGGCAAAAATCCCTCTAAGCAGAACAGCGCAGCTCAGTGCAAAAATCACTCTTCTGCACCGAATTCATTTAGTTGGTGGAGGATTGAAAAGGTGCTCATTCATAGTGCAGCCTCTCCAGCAAGTTATCTGAGTAGGAGCAATTACTGTTCACCTTCCACCCAGGGAACCACCTCCCTTCCAGCCCAAGCTCGTGTCCCAGTGCATGTCCCAGAGGAGTCCCATCAGCTGGGAAAGCAATGCATGACCCCACCTGTGTATGGTCTGTACTCTGTCTGACTGTAAGAGGTGCCTAAGATGGATACAGGGAGATGGTCTGTCCATGGGGATGGGAATCTCCATCCTAAATCTCTTACCAGTGTCACAGGGACCAGAATGGTTTCCTCATGACAGTAGGCAGGGATAGGATGGAGCATCCCAGAGAAGGTGGGGGCTGAACTGCTCACACAACTTTGAGACACTCGCCCATTTAGCAGATGCATTAGGTGCATCTCTATGGGACACATTACTGATGGAGTGGATTCATCAAGGTCTCACCTCTGTGTGAAACAAGGATTAGTATTTTCAGATATATTTGAATTAATGGCAAAGGCAGCCATGACCCCTGCAGCAGGCTCAGAGCTGACCCTGACCAAGGCAGATATCAGAGAGTCATCTGCAGAGCAGGCAGGGCTTGTTTCTGCTTCTGCCTGTCCACCTCACTTTGGTGGGCAGCAGTCTACTGCCTTCCTGTTTCATTTTTCCTCCCACTTTTTGTCGATAACTGCATAAGAAAGTTTTCTTATGAGTAGCTGCATCTTCGCTTTATGTCTCTAATGCCTAGTTCAACAAGGACTTGATTTTTTAGAGGGACGTGTTACCTCATCTGCACAATAAATACAGTAATAACATCTTTAAAGAATGTTAACTCCCAGTTAAAGCCAGGCTTTAGTTTGTTACTTTTTGTCTGCTCAGTGCTCCTGATAATCCCCATATTACAGATCATGTGCCAGTGGAAACCAAAACCAAAACAAGAACAAAGCACAGCACAGACCTCTGAGAATTGATGTGCCTCTGGCAGATTAATGAACTTTTAGATCCCTGACCTCACAGATGTGGAGAGAATCTGTGGGGATTTGGAATGAAAATACACAAAATAAGAGTTCAAAAAATAACAACAACAAAATCCCACAGCAAGTGACAATCAGGTTAGCTGATGGACATGATGTATTTTTGCTCAGATTATATTCCCACATCTATCCTTACCTGGAAGGCAACAGCTAAGATCACCACTTTAACTTTGACTTTCAGGACAAAGTCTCCATGCAACGATACAAGGATATTTGATGCAGAACGATGGAAAGGAGTAGAGGAGAAAGCGTTACAAGACTCAAGAGCAAGCTGAAGACTGAAGCAGCAGCCAGGTGAGTAAACGCAGAAAGGGAAAAGATGGCCATGGGAGAATGGGGAGCGAGAGACAGTTAAGAATAGGACTGGAAGGCTGGAGATACTGAACACACAGCTGAATTAGGCATAGATGTGCCAGCAGAAGAAAAGGGAATACTGGAAAGACAGGGCAATATTTTGAATACAAACCAAAAAAGAACAGATTAAAAAAAAAAACAACAGAGCAGCATTCAAAAAGCCTGGGGAGCAGCAGTGAAGGTGGGAAGACCTGATACCACCATGCACACTCCACATGCAGCACAAGTAATACAAGAGCCATTCACACACGGTCAACTCCAGCAGGATCGCTAGATCCTGCAATAAGAAACGACTAAACTGCAGTGTAATTAACCCGGAATAGCAGAGGAACAGTAACAAATTGAGTGACTTGCATGTAAAAGCCAGAGACGTGATCTACCAGGATTAGACACAACAGCTCTATGCTGGACAAGTAGAGATACTTGATTTCTGGGGATAAAGCGTTTTCCTTGTGTCACAGAGGGCTGAGGAGACTAATTAGCTAATCTCAGTAGAAGTTTTTGAAGTGACAATGGCCCATGTTAAGTATTTACATTATAAGACTGCAGCAGTCTCACTGATCCTTCCTTCCAATGGTGGTTTTCTGGGCACCAGCCCAGGAGCACAGGCAGCGAATCCCAGTTACTAATCAGCCTAGTTCTCTCTCCCTGGGGACAGCTCAGGAAAACGGCAGGGCAAATGATCTGTATCAGCACAGCAGCTCAGAGACCCCAGTACCTGTCCCTCACTCTTCCTCTCCTGCAGCTCCACACTTTCCTGCCTGCCTCCTGCCCTGGCCCTGGCAGCTGGAGTGGTGCCCAGCTGGGCAGGGAGCGGGAAGAGGTGGATGCGGGAGGAGGTGGATGCTTCCTGGCAGCAACCAGCCGAGTGGGAAGTGTACAAGGACGAGGGAAGCACACGGCCTGCATCGCTCATGGCTCCTGCTGCCCGTGTTGCACGCACACACACTGCTCTGCAGCCGCACACTTTCTGAGTTTTTTTAGAGCAGAAAACAGCCCTAAACAATTATCCTTTCCATCTGTCCTGTGACAACATCCAGTGACTGTTGGTAGCCACTCTGCTGGAAAACAAGCTTATGTGCATACTTTGCAGTGCCACAGCCAGGGCTGGTCCAAGGGAAGATAAAATTTCTCTCTCAATTGTGCTGTATTTCCCTCCTTCCAGCGGCAACCTGGCACCTCTGATGGATTTACTCAGAGGTATCAGCATATTTCATGTTTTGTTCTCTTTGATTCCTCATGTTCTGCCTCGCTTTTCTGACTCTGGTTGACCACTGAGCAGATGCCCTCCTGAACCTGTCCCCCTTAGCCCCAAAGTCTCACACCTGAATAGTGCCGGTCAGCTGAGAGCCTGACACTTCTACACAGGGCTGGGATTATTGACAGTAGAGAAGGATGTGCCACTTCCTACCTGCAAAGCTACAGCGTCGCATCCATGCCACATCCAGGGCAGGTACATACCTCGTGCATTTCACTCCAGGCTCCACAGCAGGCTGATGCCATTATCAGCACAACTTTTGTAGTAGGGAAGAGACTAAACTGCTTGTTGTTAATTGGAAGGAAGAATGGCGTGCAGTTTGGTGGGAAGATGAGGACCATAAGTCAAGGGCTGAGAATATGACTTTCCAAAGCCACTCCAGAAGTGAGCCAAGCTTAGCCTGGTCAAAAGCACCAGTAAACTCAGAAGATGGTTGCATCTCTCTTGGAAGGATATTACTTTACAAGGTAAGAAAATTCATATTAGGAATAGAACTTCTCTCAGAGAGACAGGATCTAGGGTGCTGCTAATGGCATTTCAAAATAAAGCTCTGAAAGGCAGCATGCTCTGATGTAAGCCCTGGCAGATACACAGCCACGCTAGTCCAGTGCCAGAAGCACCCAGCCCACCCTTGGTCAGTACCTGAGGCAGCACAGGAATGCTTAGGCTGCAGGACAGACCATTGTGTGGGCAAGGGAAAGGGCTGAAAGTGCTCCAGACAACTGCCTCATGTCAAGACTTCCTGCCCTCACAGGTGCCATCAGATACCAGCCCTGACTAAAACAAGGCTGTGCTATCCCTCCCTGCTCCCTGCACAACCTCTACTGCTGCAAAATCCCCAAACCTGGGATTTCCATCACCAAAGCGCTAGGCACCATGCCTAGACTTTCTTCCTTGATCCATTATCCAGTCAGCCTCCATCCTTCCCTTAAACACTTGCTTTTCTTCTCAGTGTTTCCAGCAGCACTGTTGCTACAGTCAAATGAATGAGATCAAGCCAGTAAGTATCATGCATCTCAACAACCACGCAGACCCATCTGCATGGCTGATGGCCTGATGTGATCAGCCCTCCCGTTACATGCTGGTTTATCTCCCATAGCTTGGAAAGACACTCCTCGGGACAGGGAGTAGTAATTTACTTTGCAGCAAAGGTACTACCTGTAAATACCAAATAGATAAAAGATAGTAATCTAAGATTTCAGGACACAATCTACATTGCTCAGAGATCAGATCCTCAGCTGTACCTAGCAACAGTCAATTTTTTCTCTTAATTTACCTGGAGTGGAAAATATCTCTTCTCCTTTTCACAAAATAATGCACTTGACCACCTGTGTCTTGCTGGGCATGGAGGGCAGGTGGGGGTGAACAGATGAATTGCTCCTTCTCCCCCCATAATGACTGACTTATAGTAACATGCAAGATTTTTTACTTTAAAGCAATTTTCTCCTGTCATTAAAAAAAAAAAATCTTTTGTTCCATACTTTTTACTCTGGAAACCCCTTCCTTCCAAACCCTAGAGATTCCTTGTGTTCATCTCCCACTGACCTGTCTCTGGTCCCCCAGGACCCTCAGCTACTGTGCTTGTACTGCTAAACTTCCACATCAGCCCTGCCCCACAGTCACCTCCCCATCTCTTCCCATCTGCTATCACTAAAATATTTACCACTTGCTGAAGATGGGGGTGACTTCTAGGAATAGAACATCACTAAATAAATAATGACAGACAGCACAGAGATGGGCCATTTGCCTGCAAGAAATTTTGATTAGGAAAAAGAAAGCCTTTTAAGAACATCTCCTCCATGGCAAATTACCTTCCCCTCTGTTATTCTGTCTGCTTCTTTTCCATAACACAGTCACATTAGTTTCCAAACATAACTCATTTAAATATCAATGTTTGAGAGCTGAGTAGGGAGCATCAGCACAAATTCTTTCCTGGGTGAAAAAAGGCCAT